GCAGGAGACACGGGCTCTGCATGCCTCCGAGGTGCCAGCCCAGCCTTCCTGCTGCTCCAGCCCCTACCTAACACACACGGATGCCGTCTCCTGGAGGCAGGTTGGAGCTACAGGTGGTCCCAGGGGCTGCGTTTTCTATCGTATTGGTTTGCCTGCCTTCACTTTTTAAAAAAATATATTTTTTATTGATTTCAGAGAGGAAGGGAGAGGGAGAGAGAGATAGAAACATCAATGATGAGAGAGAATCATTGATCGGCTGCCTCCTGCATGCCCCTTACTGGGGATGGAGCCTGCAACCCAGGCATGTGCCCTTGACTGGAATGGAACCTGGGACCCTTCAGTCCACAGGCTGGCGCTCTATCCACTGAGCCACACCGGCCAGGGCCCACCTTTAGTTTTATCACGTCTTGCAGACAGGGTCGTTTCTGAGTATTTTCTCGACAGCAGGAGCCCAGCACGATATCCGTTCTTGCTAAACTGTCTCCTTTCTGTGTCAGGCTCCCCGAAACCTGAGCGGAAGCCTGAACTCTGTGGCTCCCAGCCCAGGACATTAGAGAGACCCCTCCACACCCCGCCAGCCGCAGGGTGCTCCCAGGGCTGAGGCTACAGGCTGACCTGGAGCAGGTCACTCCACTTCCCGAAGCCTCGTGGCTTCATCTAAACCTGCAATCACCACGCCTGCTTTTGGGGTGGCTGGGAAGGTTAGGAAGGGCATCAGCAAAATGCCCGGCCCCATCATTAGCACACGGTGGCCACAATATAAGCCTAGGAAGTCATAGATGGTCAAATCACAACAGAGCAGCCTCCGTGTGCTGCCCAGGAGAGGCTAAGTGAACGCCTGCAGACCTGCCCTGCTCACACCTCCCCAGGCCCCTCCCACCCGCACAGCCTGCTCACACCTCCGTAGGCCACTCCCACCCACACGGCCAGCTCACCCCTCCCCAGGCCACTCCCACCCACGCAGCCTGCTCACACCTCCCTAAGCCACTCCCACCACACAGCCTGCTCACCCCTCCCTAGGCCACTCCCACCCCACAGCCTGCTCACCCCTCCCTAGGCCACTCCCACCCCACAGCCTGCTCACCCCTCCCTAGGCCACTCCCACCCCACAGCCTGCTCACCCCTCCCTAGGCCACTCCCACCCCACAGCCTGCTCACCCCTCCCTAGGCCACTCCCACCCCACAGCCTGCTCACCCCTCCCTAGGCCACTCCCACCCCACAGCCTGCTCACCCCTCCCTAGGCCACTCCCACCCCACAGCCTGCTCACCCCTCCCTAGGCCACTCCCACCCCACAGCCTGCTCACCCCTCCCTAGGCCACTCCCACCCCACAGCCTGCTCACCCCTCCCAGGCCACTCCCACCCACACAGCCTCCCAGGACTCCACTGCCCACGGTGGCTCCTTAATGTACAGTGCGCCTCCCTGCCTCGGCCAGTATCATCTGACGCTCTCCCTCTTCCCTCAGTGTGAAAGGAGACTGAAGAAAAAGGGGTCGCTGCCCCCCAAGTACGCCTTGGAGCTGCTCACCATCTACGCCTGGGAGCAGGGCAGCGGGGACACAAGTTTTGACACCGCCCAAGGCTTCCGGACGGTCCTGGAGCTGGTCACCCGCTATCAGCAGCTCTGTGTCTTCTGGACGGTCAACTACAACTTCGAGAATGAGACTGTGAGGAACTTCCTCCTGAAGCAGCTCCAGAGACCCAGGTGCCCCTCCCCTCCCCTCCCCTCCCCTCTCCTTAACCTGATTCCCTCCACCCCTACCTCCGCGAACTGGCTTCTCCTCCTGTGGGGGCCTGATTCATCCTCCTCCAGTGAAACTGCGGGGGAGAGGGTGCCAACCGACAGAGCCTCCTGCAGAGATACAGCCCCCGGGAGGCGGGAGGAAATGTCACCCAGAAGGAACAGGCGGAGGCCCCAGGCTCCGGGCCCCTGCGTGGCATCCATCTTTCTCGGTCACAAGAAGTGGGATTCGTTCCCGCCTACAAGGCGGGGCAAGTGTGGTCCTGAGAACTAAGTGTCATTCATAGGCTGATGGATCCTACAGGCTTGTTACTGTCAGGTTTCACCTCCTCTTCCAGCACCGCATCCCACAAAACCTTCATCCTTCAAGGATAAGAAGGCATCTCCGTTCAGCTGCTCAGAGTCACCAGCCAGGGACAAAAACAGCGGAAGCCAGAGAAAAGGAAATGGGCGAAAAGGAAGGAGCATGGGGAGAGTCTAGGGAAGAAGAAAGAGAGAACAAGACACCCTGGGTTGCCTACCATGGGAGTGGCCGACTTAGTAACATTCCATTGGGTTATGATTATGCGTCATCGGTCAGTTGGCCTGGTTTGGAGAAGATGTTTGTATGACGCCCTCACGTCTATAATAATTAGTAGCTTTCAAAACATTTTTTAAAATATATTTTATTGATTTTCGATAGAGAGGAAGGGAGAGGGATAGAGCGTTAGAAACATCGATGAGAGAGAAATATCGATCAGCTGCCTCCTGCACGCCCCCTACTGGGGATGTGCCCGCAACCCAGGTACATGCCCTTGACCGGAATCGAACCTGGGACCTTTCAGTCCGCAGGCCGACCCTCTATCCACTGAGCCAAACCGGCTAGGGCTCAAAACATTTTTGACAATTATTATTTAATTCCAGAAGATTACTTTGCACAGCATTAGTACACTGAATTCTTGATGTCCAAGCAGTTAAGGACACATTGCTTTATTGCTGAGAGGAGGATGGGCCCCCAACCCTGAGACCACTGACTCTAAGAAGCAGGCCCCTCACCCCTCCAACCCCTCGTCCAGGCCGGTCATCCTGGACCCGGCCGATCCCACCGGCGACGTGGGCGGAGGGAACCGCTGGTGCTGGCATCGTCTGGCGAACGAAGCTGCCGAATGGCTGTCCTCCTCTCTCTGCTTCAAGGACGGAACGGGAGGTCCCGTCCCGTCGTGGAAAGTGCCGGTAAGAATACCCCCCAGGCAGCGTGGTCTGGGGATGGCTCCCTGACAGGCTTCGATCACAGAGCTTCTCCTGCTGTTGCCACTGGGACTTTATTCAACCACAGGTGACAGCTCACCCACATCAGGGGCTTGGGCGTTGTTTGTGATTCTTCCCATTATAAGAAATCCTAAGGCAGGCACCCAGGACGCCCCTAACAGCTCCACTGTGCTTCCCCGTGAGCAGTTTCCCCGCTGTGGCCCCATCTGCATTCCGTCTGGATCATTCTTTGTGGTGGGGGCTGTCCTGGGCCGTGTCGGATGCTGAGCGGCATCCCTGGTCCCTACCCCCTCGATGTGACGATGTCTCCGGAAAGGGCCTCCGGACCTCCAGGAGGCAGGTTCGCGGTCCAGGCAGGAAGGACAGGAGGGGAAAGGTGCCTGCTCAAGGCCATCTTCTCAGAAGCCTCATCCGGCAAGTTCTCTTCATGTCGGTGCCCAGAACCGTCCTGTGGCATCTGCTACTTAAAAGTGACTCCAAGGGGGACGGGGGTGGGGGGGGCACGGATGGGATTGGGTCAGCGACCAAGCGTCTGCCACACCTGCTCCTACTGCCCCTCTTACCAGGACACCTGCCACCAGGTACACTTGGTTCTCCCGCCAGGACCTTGCTCAAGGTCCCGTCAAAGCAGGGTTTCTCAACCTCGGCACTAGTGACATCCTGGGCCAGATAGCCAGGTAATTCTTCACCGCAGGGCTGTCGTGTGCATTATGGGATGTTGAGCAGCATCCGGTCTCCACCCACTTGATGCCACCCAGTTGTGACCACTAAAAATATCTCAAGACAGTGCCTCATGTCCTGTGGGGGCCAAATCGCCTGCTATGAAAGAACAGCCCTCTCCATTCCACTCCACTCCAGGGTCAACTGTAGTTGTCAAGATCTGTGCTATCAACAAGCACCCCAAAATCATCCCTGGTAATATTTTACCCTCTCGGATACACTTCCTTCTTTTTTTTTTTTCCTGACCCTTTTAACCAAGGGGTTTTGAATGCTCAGAACTCGTATTATTCTCACATGTCTACTTCTTTCTTTCTAGACGGTGCAGACACCGGGAAGCTGCGGGACTGGTTTCGGTCCTGTCATCAACGAGATGTTCTCGTACAGAAGTCGCGGAATCCTAGACTGAAAATGCTCGGAGAAACTTCTCGAGGCCACCTGACAAGTGCTTTTGAAGAATCAGTTCACTGTGTAAACGCGTATCCCAGATCCCTTCTCCCCACCCCCCACCCCCCACCCCCAAACTCCTTCCCTGGTTTCTTGGACGCCTCTTCAAATCAAGACTGCCGGGTCCTTCCCAGAAAGTCTCGGGCGCTCTCGCCTTGCTGGGCTCTCGCTCCGTGAGTGGCCTGCTTTATTAAAAATGTTTGCTCTCATTTAAAAAATAAACAAAAGGAATTGAGTTAGAAAGTTGAAAGTTCCAGAGAAAATGTGTAGCCCAGACAGACTTCAGAAGAGAACAGCAAAGGAAGGAGAACCAAGGACAGAGGTGGAAGGGCGTGCCCTCTCACAGCCTCGGAGGGAGACGAACCTGGAACAGAGCAAGAATCCAACTAAGTGGGTTCTGTAAGGTCTGGGGCTGGGAAAATAGGGTCTTTTGAGTATCTTCTTGCCAAATCTAAAGGCTTTATCCTCTGGCTTTTCCTTCAAAGGTACTTGAAGATCTAGGTGTTTTAACCTCCTATGTATCCTCTGAAAGTCTTATTACTGTCATGTATGCCAACTGCCATGTAGTAAACGAAAATGTCTGGCCCTGGCTCAGTGGTTAGAGCGCAGGCCCTCAGACCAAAGGGTCGTGGGTTCGGTTCCCAGTTAAGGGCATGTACCTTTGTTGAAGGTTCCCCACCCCTGGGGCATGTGTGGGAGGCAACTAATTGACGACGTGTCTCACTCACTTCAATGTTTCTCTCTCTCCCCTTCCTCCCTCCCTTCCACTCTTTCTAGAAATCAGTAGGAAGAAGATCCTTGGGTGAGGATTAAAAACAAACAAAAAAGAATATGACTGGTCTTTCCCCCCAGTTCCTAGCACAGAGTTTCAAACCCCTTGCAGTTTCCCATTGGAGCGTCTTGTATTCATGATGAGCCCCTGCCAGCCAGCCATGAGTTTATGCACAATAAAGAATTTTTTAAAAATACACACAAAAAAAGAAGTTTCTCACCGTAAATCTCTATTCTGCAGGTCTAATCCATGCCTAAACTTACCTAGCAACTGTAAGGTCTGGGGCTGGGAAAATAGGGTCTTTCCTGATCCCACCAGCTGAGTGGACAAAACAACCCAGAACTGCCGAGCCACATCCTGCTGGACAATAGCTGCCATCCTGGGACCCACCAGAGCATCCTGTTGTGCTGATGGCCAATAAATAACCACTGGAGACTTCTCAAGATGGCCAGGGTGCAGCTGCACCAACTTCCTGCTCATCAATCACCCGCCACAAGCTACCTCAGATAAACCTGATTGGTCCAACAGCAGCATAAAAAATCTCTGCCAGGCGTAGGCGGGTGTGACTCCCCCGGCCTGCACCCCCAGACCGTGGGACCTCACCCGAGAGCTTCCAATAGACACGATATTTCACTATTACCCTGCTTCTCTTGGTCAATTTATTGGCTTTGGTCAGATTAAATCTCACATCTCAGATTAAACCTTACCTTAAACCTAACAGGTTCAAGGTCAAGATTCCGGCCCATAGTCCACTCCCAGTTACCCTGGCAATGAGGGCCCCACTGACATCAGAGAAAGTCAGGGATGACCAGAAGCAGGGCCACACGTGGCGAGTGGCCAATGGCCCAGGAGGAGCTTGGGAAGAGTTCGATGGGCAGACCACAGAAATCAGTAGGAAGAAGATCCTTGGGTGAGGATTAAAAACAAACAAAAAAGAATATGACTGGTCTTTACCCCCAGTTCCTAGCACAGAGTTTCAAAACCCTTGCAGTTTCCCATTGGAGCGTCTTGTATTCATGATGAGCCCCTGCCAGCCAGCCATGAGTTTATGCTAATGAGGTCTGGGCTCTTACATTTCAAGGGAGGGGTTGGCCATGCCAGAAAGATCAAGCCAGAAATTAGAGGATTGAACTCCCAAGAGGAGAGAGGGTTGGAGACTGAGCTCAAGCATGTGGCCAAGGATTGAATCAATCCTGCCTCTCCAATGAAACCCAATAAAAACTCTGGCCGGCCAGGCTAGAGGAGCTTCTGGTCGGTAAATGCATCGATGTCTTGAGAAGACGGCACATCCTGACTCCACGGGACGGAAGCTCCTTTGCCCAAGACCCTTCCAGACCTCACCCCCGATGTTCCTCTTCGCCTGGCTATTCCTCTGTGCCCTTGACAATAAAACAGTGACTGCAGGTAGAATGCTTTCCTGAGTTCTACAAGTCATTCTGGTGAATTACTGAACTTGAATTTGGAGTCAAGTTAGACAGAAGTACAAGTGGTCTCGGGACCCCACTTGTGACTGGCATCTGAAGTGAAGTGGGGGACAGTCTTGTTGGGACCTTGCCCTTGAACTGTGGGGTCTGCACTAACTCCGGGGAGGGTCAGGATTGAATTGAATTGAATTCTAACGCACCCAGTTGGTGTCTAAAGGTTGGTTTTAGAACGCACCACTGCTCCCGTCTAGAAGAAAACAAAGAAAACAGCTATGACTTGAGGTTAAAGAATGAAAGAATGACCACCCTAAGTTGACATCTACTTAGTCTACAACTAGGTACCATTTCCTTCAAGATGCACAAACTTGCCCTAGACCCATAGAGAGGGAGCTATCAGACACCGCCCCCTCCTCCCAGGGGAAAATGCACCCAGAGGGACAGTGACACCTACTTAACCTTAAACAAACATGAAGGGCCATTTACAGCGGCGCACTAAGTGACTTCCCCAGGCACCTCACAGGCAGGCAGGGACCATTGTCTTTCCCGCCAATGTCTTCTCAGCATTCTGTAGACATTGAAGCTCCTCAAGAGCAAAGACAAGGAAGACCCCACAGTGATCAAGAAACGTGTGGTAGAAAAACAAAAGAAAGAAAGAAACGAGTGGTCATTGGTCATCATGAGAAGTAACGAGGGCACAAACCCTTTTTAAAAAAAAAAAAAAATGGCAACTAACAGCAATGAAGAGGAAATCTTTAAACCCAGCCTTTCTTGCAGAAATTGTATTTCAGGAGAAAAAAACCCCCAGCCATGACTGTTAAGGAAAACAATTTTGACAGGAGAACCGCATTTACTATCTGTGGAAGGGAAGACACAGCAGAAACCACC